CAAGTCTCTAGTACTTGAAATGCGTTTTTTACAAATTGGGGGAGAAGGGGGCGTGGTATCCAAAATCTGTAAATTACAAAATCTTTGTATCGATTAACTTTATATACAACGCAAATTTGAAGACTCCATCTCTAAAAATGTTCAAATTAGGCTAAAAAAACAAAATCAATTTTTCGATTATTCTCGATAAAAAAGTTATCGGACGATTTATCGAAAAAATAAAGCAAACTCGTACTGCGTATGGTACTCACGAGTATGCATGCCAAATTTCAGCTCTCTAGCTCTTATAACTTCTGAGATCGACGCACTCATACGGACGGACGGACGGACGGATGGACGGACGGACGGACGGACGGACGGACGGACGGACGGACGGACGGACGGACGGACGGACGGACGGACGGACGGACGGACGGACGGACGGACGGACGGACGGACGGACGGACAGACGGACAGGGCTATATCGACTCAGCTCGTCGCGCTGATCAAGAATATATATACTTTGTGGGGTCTGCCACGCCTCCTTCTGCCCGTTACATACTTTTTCACAAAACCATTATACCCTGATTTCCCATTTTCAATGGGTTCAGGGTATAAAAACTCTAGAGGCCCAAAGGCTTTGCTTTTCACAAATAGCTTTTCTTTACTTAGCTATTATTTTTCTACGCTTCACTCTCAAAATACTTGAGTCGACCGGATGAAGAGAGTGTCATAGTTAATTACCATTTGGGGTATACATTCCATATTTATTTTCAATGTAACTCCAATACTATCTAGCATAGGCCACAAGTTAATAGATAAATGGAATAGTAAATTCAAAAGGGCTAAATTTATTTCTCATGATTCCCAGAGACGAGCTCACATCTTCCGGCATTTTCTATTGCTGTAATGCATTTAAGTATGCCAATCAATTGAATATTATTTAAAGTGAAAATCTAATATAATTGCAATGATTAAAACCCGTTTCTGAACGCACTCAGCTGTTGCATGATGTCATGATCGAGTTTAGCGTTCGGTAGAAATGTAAACACTATCCGCAAATATGCACTACGATTGTTTTGCACTACGTAGAAACTTTATACAATTGTATACAATTCTGTTTAAAACTGCAAGTCGGAAAAAAAAAACAATATGATATTTTACATATTTTCATTTCATTTCATTTCATATAAGTAACAAGCCGGATTTCAGGGATCCATGCCTGCAGAAAATAACTGTAGAAATGAAATGTATTAAAAATATTTTAGATACTCGCCCAAACAACCTGTTACACATTAAATCAGCTTATGTTGAGATTAAGTTGCCCAAGAGATAGTCGATCCTTGATCTATAAATATGTTAGCACTCCAAGATCGTTCCCTCATTTCATTATAATTAGTAAAAGCCTCTTGCAACTACTAAACTTACACCCAAAGTCAAAGTGGACTAGACTCAATATAAAATATTTAATTAACATATATATAATCTATTTTGCAATCTAATTCTGCATACATTTTTGGAGTATTTAGAGCTTCTTTAGTCAGCTATGCAAGGCTGAAGCTACGACTGCTTGTAGGGTCTGATTAGTATGCGAACATATCGCAAAGAGCCCTTGGGTCCGGGCTGAATGTGATTCCACAGAATGCCCTTATAGTAGTCAATCTGTTGCCCATACCTCTTCTGGAACGTGCCAAAGAGATTACTAAAATAAAGCATACATGGGTCAAAAAGGAACATGAGTAAAGCTTATGACTAAGCTACCTCTTAATACAGTCGCGTCCATACCACCAGGCGCCCATATGAATGCTAGCACAATTCTGGCCGTTGTCGTCGTTGTCCTGGTCGTAGGTGGTGAATTTCTTGCCGGAGTGGTGCTGCAGCGCGTTGCCAGCATTGCCCTTGTAGGAGCCCAGTACATAGAGGAAATACTTCTCGTCTTCGCTGCCAATGCTGAACTGGTCATAGTTCGCGAAGTACTCACCCATCTCGTTTTTCATTATGATGAGCAGCTCGTGGGTATCGCTGATGGTCAGCCGGTAGAGTTTGTCCAAGCCAATGAAAAACTCGGAGTTCAACGAGCCGAAGCCCGTTTTATATGTGCGCCAATCTCTATAGAAGTCCTCGCTGCCATCGAAGCGGTGGGCGACCACCAGCCAGCCACCGTCATGCTTTTCCTGATCACAAATAACGTAGAACGGCTCCATATCCGGCGAGATTCGGATCCGCACAGGGCCATGCTTCTGGCCAATACAATTGCGAGGGGTGTCGTCCACTTTGCATGCCACACTTGGTGCCACAGGCTGAAATTGCTGCCTAACGCAAGATTGTGACTATTCGCATCTGTACTATTAGAGCTACTACTAAAACAAAGAGCTCATTGAAAATGGGAAATCAAGGTATATTCGTTTTGATAAATGGATGTAAGAGGCAAAAGATGTGACAGACCCCATAAGATATATATGTATATTCCTTATCAAGGCACCCAATCGATTTAGCCCTGTCCGTTTGTCTATCTGCCCGTCTGTGCGTATGTGCTGTTATGTTTGAACGCGTCGATCTCGGGAAGAGCGAAAATCAGTTATAAAATGATATCTTCAACATCTTTAAAGCTATACACTTCCAATGTTAAACAAAGATTTGTGTTTATTTTATAAAATTTCAATTTTTTTAAATTTACAATAAAATTTGGAAAAAGAAAGTTAAAAATATCATACTACATAAGGAGGGAATGATCGGCCTAGATCCTTGGTCCGATTAAGAATATATATGCATTATCAGACACCATAAACGCTAACTCAAAACCTTCACCTCTTTATATCTTTTACATATATTTTGTAGAAGCCCATTTTTAATGTACTTTATGAAATGATTGCAAGATTAAAGAGATCTGGGTAGAAATCAGCTAAATAGATGTGTATACCATCAGTTACAAATCATGCTTAAAACAAGTAAGAGGACTCTAGTCGAGACTGCTCGACTAGGAGATACCCTGAACCCTCTAATCTGATATTCACTCTGCACTTCTTTTCGGCACACATACATACACATGCACGTATTAGAACGCGCTCTGCTCACTGCGCAGTAAGCAGCGACTGCGCTTGGGCTGCGCTGCAGTGTGGGCAACATTATAAAAATTTATTTGTTGAATAATTTAATTTCTAGACGTACAATGAAATTAAACTTTCAGAGCGTAATCATATGGGGAAAATGTATGTGCATTCTAAAGCACAAGAGTCTAGTACTTGAAATACGCTTTTTACAAAGGTGATGGTGAGGGGGTGGATATAGGGGTGGGGGGTAAATTACAACAAAAACCGAAACTATATAAAATACATATAATTCTACATATAAAATTTGCAAGCTCTAGCTCTAAAGGTGTAGGAGATATAATTAAATAACTAACATTCGATAAGGTTTTTGATCGATAATAAAATATCGGGAGTATTTATCGATATTTAAAGAAAAACTTGATATGCGCGTGATATACACGGACCTAGGAAAACAAAATTTCAAGTCTCTAGTTCTTATATCTTCTGAAATCGACGCGTTCATACGTACGGACGGACGGACACACAGACGGACAGGGCCAAATCGACTTTGCTCGTCGCCCTGATCAAGAATATATATACTTTGTGGCGTCTGCCACGCCTCCTTCTGCCTGTTACATACTTTTACCAAAACCATTTTACCCTGATTTCCCATTTAATAATATCATTTAGGGCTTTGAAGATCTCGGCGTTCATATGGACGGGTGGACAGGCAGACATGGCTCGACCAATATACACATATTAAAGCCTGATTCCCGAATTGTCTGCTATAAAATTCGAAACTGTTATAGAACTAGTTGATTAACTTACATCCGTGACTCTATAGGTTGCACTGGCGCTTGGCTCTTGTACTCATCGATGAGCTGCTGTACTTCAGTGAGATCCGCGTGCAGAGATTGCAGCTCAGCGCTCATATAGTGAACTCTAAATGAAAGCAACTGTGACATAGGCACCGCCTCAGGCTTAAGCATGACTTACCGCGCCATCAGGGCATCGAGCACGACCGCCGGACAGCCGAGCGTGTGCTGCAAAACATAGAACTCAGGAGCATAAGTTCTTCCAAACGGAATCGAGTTGAAGTTAACGTACATTGCGAAAGGGCTGCGTCGAGTCTACCATGATATTTGTTACGAAGTTTCCGGGCAGCGTCGTCGAGGGGGTGCTCAGGCAAGTTAATGCGGTGACCAGGGCTTCCAGAGTCATGCTGCCAGCTGCTGGAAAGCTGCGCTCTCCGCACGGACTCGGACTATTGAATTTGAAGTGCACGCCAGTAGCTCTGACAGCAAACTGCAACGTAATCGACCTTCAGCGAGTGCGCGATTCGCAGACTAGTTACGATCCGCATAAGCTCACACTCGGCTGGCTAACTGATAAACTAGTTACGCCACCGACTGCATATAATAGAATACTCGTTTGCAATACGCCCGTGTGCACCTGCATATAAAGCTGCTGACTGGAAATGTATCCGACGACCTCTGCGGCGAGAACCTCCAGCTTAGTATACTTGCGCATCTGAGCCGGAGCACAATGTCGCAGATGCTACAGCTGGATGCGCTGGTCACAATGCTGGCATGCCTAACAACAACCCAAACCAATGTGACCGATCAGGCGTTGCCTCCAGACGATCCGGTGAGTCAGTATATATATATGGCAAAGTAGAAGTAATTCAAATGTGCGAATGGGAAATCAGAAATGAGACATGATGGTTTGCTTGAAATGTGCTTAAACGCGGCATCAAATATATGTATATACTCCCGATTAGGCCGATGCGTTGAGTCGATATTTCCCTTTTCGTCTGCCCGTCCGTATATTCCAACGAATCGATTTGAGAGCCTAGAGGCTTGAATTTTTGTTATTCCCTGTATATCACGCACAGATTGGGCTTGTTTCAAAAGCCTTATCAAAATTCGGCGGTGCAATTATATCTTTCACATCTTTAGAGTTCAAGTTTAAGAGTTTTGAATATAGATATAGTATTATCTCACACAATTTTGATTTGAATTATATTTTTACCGGCTCCACCCCTTCCCTACAGATTTGCAAAATGCGTATTTTATATAGATTTACAATGCACATACGAATATATGTCTTTCGACGGACTCTTATTAAACAACAGTTTCTTACTAAATCTAACAAACTACATTATTCCAAAATTTTTATTATTATTTTTTTTTTTTTTTTTACAGTCAAATGTAGGAGATATAATTCAATTATTGATTTTCGGTAAGGGTTTCAATCGATAAAAACGAAATGGGAGAAGCTATCAATTTTTTAAAATAAACTCGATATGCGCGAGGTATATACGGACTTAAGAACAAAATTTCAAGTTTCTAGCTCTTATATCGTCTTAGATCGACGCTTTCAAGCATACGGAGGGATGCTGGCACAGACAGATGGACAGAGCTCTGATTCCTTATGGTTTTTTTTTTTTTTTTGCCTGTTATTTACCCATTGATGAGGGGTTCAGGGTATAAAATTGCAGGTTGGACAGGGCTCAGGGGGTCTTCTAGTCGGGCACCCCGACAAAGACACTACTTCTAATCGTACAGCGTATTGCATATCCCTTACAGACATCAAGCAACTGTCCTCTGGCAACGATTAGCAATCTGAACACAAAAATCCATTCACTGTCCGAGGATTTAGCCAGAGCCTGGGAGAAAATGGGCATCCTGCAAGAGCAGCTGGTGGATCTGCGACGCTGGGGTAGCCCTAACACTGCTGCCTCTGCAGCACCGCTGGACAAGACCTTTAGCACACGCATGTAAGCTAGTTCGCTTCAGTGACACGTCTAGTTTCATTAGAAAACATCTCACACTTAATTCTAGTCTTGATGTGCAGCCACAGATGCAGGTGGATACGCCCCAGAACTGCCTGAAGCAGAAGCACGGCGTAGTTCGCATTCGATTGCAGGCCAATATAGAACCGTTCTTTGTGTACTGCGATCAGAAGACTCGGGGTGGCGGCTGGACAGTGGTGGCCAATCGTTTCGATGGCACCGAGAACTTTAAGCGCAATTGGGGCGACTACAAGATCGGCTTCGGGTCTATCGCTACCGAATTTTTCATTGGCCTCGAGAAGCTGCATCAAATCACCAGCAGGGAAGACAATGAGCTGCTCGTCATACTCGAGAACCGCAAGCAGGAGCAGCGCTATGCACTGTACGATCATTTCAGCATTGGCAGCGAGTCGGAGCAGTATAGCCTGAAAGTGCTAGGCAATTATCAGGGAGACGCCTCCGATGCGCTGCGCAAGCACTTGGGCAAGAAGTTCAGCACCCAGGATAGGGACAATGATGAGAGCGACGCCAACTGTGCAGCTGAGCAGTCGGCTGCCTTCTGGTACAGCAACGTCTGCACTCTGAGGTAGGTTCAGTTCAATCGAATGAGCTTAGGACTCCAATGTCTTCAATGTTTTCCACAGCAACCCGTTCGGCGTCTATCAGCCCCAGCTCAATCGGGATGTAGATGGCTATCAAGGCATATTGTGGCACGGCTTCCTGGATGGTCCCAAGGGCTCGCTGAAAAAATTACGCATCCTTGTGCGTCCACGCTCCAGCGGCGGCTGAAAGATATTCAACATTGCCATATCTTCACCATACAGCATATACGTATATATATAAATGTATACAGCAACATATATAAATAAACACAACCAATCCTTTATTTTTGGCAGTACACAAATCCCAAAAAAGAATATTATCATAAATATATGTATGTATA